GATAACACTCAACAGCTGTAGGCAGAAGCAATCCTATGCTTAGGAGAAATCCAGTGAACACAAATAACATAAACAAAGCTCAGGCTAGCCAAACACTACACAGTTTTACATTCTGAGAGAGCACTATGGGTTTATGGGTTAGCCAAAGAGATAGCAATAGCTGCCTGCCTTAAGGCTGACTTTGTCTAATTAAAACCTTGGACTGAGCCACTTAATAAGATCACTGCATTGACTCATTTGTTCCTGTGTGTAAATTACACATTGGGGGTGATTTACTAACCTAAACACACACACACACCAGGTGTGTGTGATTTTCACACAGCAAAACGTATTTATCAACCAAAAAGTCTCTATAAGCATTTTTCCACTAATGCCATATATGGAAAAATCATGCACATGATGCATATATAATGCTGCTTCACAGTTTAGACAAAAATGGTTAGCTCATGCATTTACATTCCTGCATTCATCAACGCAAGCAACATAACATAGAGCTAATTTACACCACATTACCTTGCAATTCATTGCAGGGCTTTGCACAACACACCTGCTGGGTGTGTACACACTACAAAGGTGTTTCGATTCCTCCCATAGATCATGCTGGGAGGGAACACACTACAGAGGTGTATACACGTTCGTGGTGTGTTTAAAAGGTTAGTAAATCAACCCCATTGGCTTACTGATCTCTGCAAACATAAGGCTTTAAGGAGACCACATCACGGTATGAGAAAAGTTGTCAGGAGCACAGTCTGCTTGTTAAAAAAAATACTAATATTAATATACCAGACTTAAAGAAACATGTTTTAGTTTTTTTAGTCTTAACCATAATGAATACAAAATAAGTGTATAAAATCACTAAACATTTCAAAATTAAAAAAACAGATCAGGCTATCAGGTGATTAACAATGGGATGTTAGCAAAAGAAAATAGATTTTGGACTCAGCAGTTAATTATTTGCAATAATCAGTTTCCCTCAGAATTGAGTTTAACAATTTACAATGTTTTAAAAAAGACAGAGCCTACAGGAAAATCTTGACACTGATTATTAAAAAGTTAATAGAGGTACTTGTGATAATTAACCAGAGTTAAATGCACAATCCTTCCAAGTGAAACCTTGCTACAGGTTACATTTCTTTGTGCCATCTTTATGCAAATGAAAACATTGCTTTATCTAAAAACACCTCAAAATTTAATTGTCTGGTGTTAGTTCCCTGTAGATTCATTACACCTCTGTTTAGCTCTTGTAAATGAAAATCACTTTAAGATTATAAAAGGATAAGTGGGCTAAATATGTAACTTGAAATGAGGTAGATTGTCTAGGGTTAATCTGCATGTAGTAAATGTGCATATCAATTCAAAGGAATCCCGTTTTCTTTATATTCTCTACAATTTTACATAAGGTAGTATAGGCAAGACATTGCATAGTTTATTCGTATAAAATCTCACTTTCTCTTGTTTGTGCGTCTCACAAAAAAGGGATAGCCTTGAAATTTAATGACTTAAAGTAAAAGCCTACTTCAAAGTGCATCGGGCTGTGGTGGATTCAAATTATAATGACATTTTCTCCAGTTCTCTTTCCAGGCCAAAATTACATTGAAGGTTTTTAAACACTTTGCTTGACATTAACCTCTTGTTCTCATCTGTACAATATTAGGTTCAATGTACTGTAAATGAGACCATTGTCAAAAACAGGTTATTTCTTAGATACTTGGCTATTAAAATATATATATTTTGCAGTTTACACTTACTTTCAAGAGTACTGAAAACTAATTGATTTTTTTATATATGTCTTCTCGTTTGATATTTGTGGTTTCCATGACAATCTCAGTGGGCATTTTAGGCCCTCCACTGAATTTAGTTTTTAAGCAACAGTGAAAAACATAAAAATGAAAGAAATTGGGGGGAAAAAGCTGCAAAACAATTTTTTCTGCAGGAAAAAACATGGTATAACTCCTTAGCCATGCTCAAGTATCATACAAAGATTTGAGACATGTGGCAACTTACACGTGTCTAATAAATCTACCAAGTAATTGGCTGTTTTACTGCCAATTAATGACCCTTTTTCCAGAGCTAAAGAGTAGTGCTTAAATACAGAGATGTGGATTTTATGTCATAGAAATAAAACTGAATAATCTGGAAAAGTAATTTATATTACAGTGTTGTAGAAGATTTTTCGTGTATCTTGTAGGGATAAAAGCATATAACTGTTTCTAACCATTACTTTTATGGCAGGCAATCAGGCAATTTGCTATCATTTCAAGCATTTTGTTTATCTATGTATTACAAAATTGCATCTGGAAAAGTGTATCTAAAACTATAACTTGTTCTTGGTTTTGGAGAGAGTGGTAAGGGTTTAGAACTCATGTCAGTTTATTGTAGAAGTCTGTGTACTCACTAGGGAGATTTGCTCTCTAATTGTCCTGGTGACCATTGTCACTGGGACTGAAAGTGAGGGAAAAGCCGGAATTGTGACAATCTTCTAATTGGGACCCTATTGTTCTGGTGACAACTGTCAAAAAGGCACTTTTACTTACATTGAAGATATATCCTCTCATTTCCTGGTGTGTTTACAGGACAGGAAGGGAAGGGAAATCTCCCCAAAGGGACACAGATGGCAAAAAGACCTAACAGTTTTATTCACCATTCCCTACTCTATGCAAAAGCTAAAAAAAGTTTGGGCTTTAGGAATACCTAAGATATAATTTTGGGTTTACTGGTGCAAGTATGCTTTCAAAGAGGTAAATACGGAACTAAATTTGTGTTCTCTGTTTCACACCACTAGACCTATGGATTCAGTTAGTTATCAATGTGCTGGAGCTAGTGAGTTTAACTGAATGATAAGAAAGAAAGAAAATCTGCAGCAACAAAGGGCCTGATTTAAAAAAGTAGAGAAAGGAAAATAAGAAAAAGTAAAGTTGTTGCTATGAGCTGCCAATAAGATTTTCTCTTTACTTTGAAGGAAATATTAAATATAAATCATGATTTACGGCTTTGGGCAACCCCAGAGTGAATATAGGGGTTTTGTATGTATAACAGAATGAATGACTACTGTATATCAGTAGATATAATTAAAACAGTAGGACAATTTTATTTTTGGTTTCTAAAATACTTAACATGACATGCAGTAATGATTATGCACTAGAGCATTTCTTCTTTTACATATCGAAATGAAAAACGCAGTTAAGTAAATGCAACCTTTCAAAAGCTCACTTTTATTTAATGATGTGTATGTATTTTTCTGGAACTGTTATAGGAAGCTATATTTAAATGTGTTAATGGAAGGACAATTCTAAAAGACAAAAATCAATGCTACATTTTTATTGCAAAGTGGTAGGTAGTAATAAAATATAAAAGCTTAATGTATGATCTAAGTCTAGTACTGAAGGGAAGAACAGATTATCTTTTGATGTTTTGATTTAAAAATGTCACTGCAGACTATATAACAACATTGAAATCATGTGTGGGAGTGAAGATAGGAATGTTCAGTTTCAAATAAATTTCTTCACCGCAGAGGACATTTTTTATCATTTCTATTATTTAAATAGAATATTGCTAAAAGTGCCGAACAGTGTTCGGCTCACTTCACTTCAGATCGGTCATTCACTCGGCTGCCATCGGCAGCTTCGTGAATAGACCCCTAAGTTGATTGTTAAGCAGGTCTGAGTAAACCAGCTTGGCTTTTAAACTGTATCTAAACCAAAAAACAAAATATTATATATTGCAGTTTAGTAGCTCTAAAATGTGGTAGCTGCATTAGTTACACTTTCTGGGCTTTTTTTCCCTAATTATTTTCCTGCTAGTAACACACTTCCTGACCTAGGTTTACAATACTTACTCACCAAACTGTATCTGTGGAAGAGTAGCATTAGTGTTATCACCAATTTCCCCCCCATTTTTGCGGGGTGGGGTTCCCCCTAAAAATCCTATTACACCTAAAGGGCCTTGTATGACTTTTGGGGAACCCCACACACTTTTTTTTGGGGGGGGGGGTCCCTTCTAACATTCCTACCAGATCTTAAGGGTCTGCTATAGATGGGGAGAACCTCATGCTTTTTTTTTCTCTTCTGCGCACTGTAAAAAAAAGTTATTTGTTTTCTTTTGTCTAATGTCACTTTGCTGCAACTAATATTCGTTCATAATGAAAATTCGTACATACTACTGCAAACATTGAAATTTCGAGAAAATTGAGATTTCGTCTGAATAAGAAAACCCAAACAAATTGACTTTTAGACCCGAATCCTGAAAAACTAATTAACAAAAACTCCGAATGAAAATGAAACAAAACAAATTTTTTGCTGGAGCACATTTCTAATTGGTGGCAAAAAAAATGCATATTGAAGAATAAAATCCCCTGGGTGTGGCCGCAAACCTTTTCCTCTATGCAGCACTAGCATGCCACCCATGTTAAGTGATTACTCTACTGCTACAAAATAAAATAAAAATAAAAACGTAATTCTCATTGTTTAAAAACATGTTTTCCAGGTTTACAGTGTCACTGTAAGGAGACTCTGGATGGGAATATCTAAATGTAAGGTGTTACTAATCAAACAACTCCTGTTGTTTCTTTTCACTTTTTAAGACATTTTTGGGGCAGTATTCCTTTGACAGAATGCAAAACAGCATTGTATGAACTAGTAAAGCTCACAACAAATATAAGTATTTAATATATCATGTAATCAGAAAGAAAATTAGTTTATAGCATAACTACAGCTTTAGTGCTGGCATTGTTTCTTCCTTTTTTTGCCTAACCAGCTGTATGTTGGTAATTTGAGATGGCTTTCCTTCATGTTGTTTTTTTACTGGCTCTGGTATGCTGACAACAATATAGGTTTCTTGTTTCAAAATATCTGTTCAAAGAGCAGAGAAAAGCTGACTTTGCTCTGATACTTGATTTTGGCTATAAGCACCTCATTAAGAATATAAATATACAAAGATGGATTAAAACATACCTTTTTGTCCCTAACCACTAATACAAGCCTTTGCTTCCTTGTTTCTCACAGGTCCATGGGAGAAATTTACTATCCATAGATTTTGACAGGAATTCACATACTGAAAAAATATATGATGATCATCGAAAGTTTACTCTCCGCATAGTCTATGATCAACTAGGGCGACCACTTCTCTGGCTTCCAAGCAGTGGACTAGCGCCTGTTAATGTGTCTTATTTCTTCAATGGTCGCTTGTCTGGACTTCAACGGGGGGCCATGAGTGAACGAACTGAGATGGACAAGCAGGGCAGAATCATTTCTCGATCATTTGCCGATGGAAAAACTTGGAGCTATACTTATCTGGAAAAGGTATTTGTGATAGATTAAATAAAAACCTAAAAGCAATAAATGAGGCTAAAACATTCTTTTCAAAACTGATAGAAGGAAAACATGTGAACTGTAAGTAGTATGAGTAAAAAAATAATTAAAACTACAAAGCCAACACCTAACCCAGCGGTCACCAATAGTAGCTTGTAAGATATAAAGGGTCAATCAGTTTTGTATTGATCTTAATATTACTGGTATTTTTATACTTTATTGGACATGTCCTCATAAAACAAATAGTAGTGAGCCCAACTGTCAGATAATTTTGTCTTTACCCATTTCAGATGCATTTTATTTGATGGTAAATAATGTAGTACCGTCCTTTCAAGACAGAATACTGCAAATCCAAATAACATTATTCTCAAAATGAAAAGGATAAAACGATGTCCTTTGCAATGACCTAAAAGTTAGCTTAAGTTAATTGGGAGACAATTATTTGACAAGTTAAAAAAGACCATTTTAAAAGTGCATTAAAATCCTTAAACGAATGCTAAATTTAATACTATTATTTTGAGAAATGTGTAGGTAATTATCTCTGTAGGTCATGCTACACAGGTAAAGCAAAATGGCCACTGACCCTTTTATTTTGCATTTTTATAACAGGCGCTATCATCAAACATTCACTTGAGAAAGATATCAATTACCTTTTAACTGTAACACTGTAGTGGCCAACCAGTAGTAGTTAGTCACATTCAGCTTGACTTTTCTGTATCATTAAAGATGTTTTGCTGCTTATTTAAACTTTTTAATCTCTAATGATTTTCAAAAACATATCCCAGCACTTTTATTGAAACAGATTACTCACATACCTTATAACAATCACCATAGCATGTGTCAAAGTAGATATTGATTGTCCTAGAACATGATGAGTACAGTAAGAGTTTGTGAACCCACCAGGTTTTAATTAAATAACCCAATGCCATGGTGCCTGGAAGTCTGTTAAATGTGTTAATCATTCAAGTTATATGTCTGAAGGTGTGAATCTTGTTAAATCACCAGAGTAGAGACATTAAAATGTCATTATATGTGTATGACATGTGGTTTTGAAGAATCCAAACCCTGTTTAAGGATAGTTGTGACAGTTTGACATAGATGCCTTCTTTCACACCTCTTTCAAACAGTTGTATTTGTCCAAAATGTGCGCGTTACTGTTCCCAAATGAACGTCCCAATTCCTTAAGGTTTAAAAAGACTGCTGAAACCTGACCCACAGAGTACACCCTTCTATGTGATAAAAGTTTCTCTCACAGTATATTGCTGGACTTAAAAAGAATACAGGAAAGCAATGTTAAACATCCTTCATATTTTCTGGTTTTCTCCTCTGTTTGAAGCCCAGCAATACAGTATGCTAATGTATGATAACTAACCTTGCTGACATGAGTGGTACATCATGCAATGCAGCCTAAGGGACAGAAGGTGGGCTCCTGAAAAACACTGCAGGCTGCAGATGGAAGTGGATTATTTAGAAACAGCTAGAATATTGTGTTTCCTTTTCTTAGATATCACTTTAATAAAGTGCAAGAAGTTGCAGTGTGATAAAAATATGATATATAGCAAGTCTTTATTTATCTTAAAATTAGCTTTAATCAAGTCTTATAAAGAAAAAACAATGTTGAGTATTTTCAACAAAGAACCAGTATTTAGATAGGCATTGATTATAACAACTTGCATATTACAGTCTTCATTCTTTCAAGCAGAAATCTAAACTATTAAAATGAAAAACTATATTGGCTGTAACGCCATTGCAAATATTACCTATTAGCTGTCCATTCAGGATGTAACCGAAACTGGAAGCCTGAAGAGAGTAGTTCTGATCGGATCTCTTCCCAAATTGTCTCTCCCTAACATTTTAGTCTAGTTGTAGTTAATCGACTAAAATGTCATAAAAAAAATTAAAAAGCCAAAAAAAGAAAAATAATGCAGCCACTACATTTTAGTATTGGTAACGTGCAGTAAATAAAATTTTTGCTTATTGATTTAGGTACGCTTGAACATTCTTTATGCAGCCTTTTACGGCCCATTTAAATTAGAAACAGCAAAACAATAAAATTTGACACGTGTTCAATTCAAAAAGAAATCATGAATTTTAGAATATTCTTTCAAAGTTTAATCAGGATTGCAAACGGTTACTAAAATATGTTCTAGTAGATTATATTTTATTGTAACAAAATGTTTGTCTTGCAGAAATAATTTCAATCTGTTTTATATATGTATTTGTCATAAAATATGTTACAACTTTTTTAAGTCTACAAATGTATGTCTGTATTTCAAAAATATAAAATTCAGATGAAATGCATTTTGAAGACATAACTGTCATAACATTTTATATACTGGCTTTTGTGCATTCCAGTAATAAAACGAGAAACTTTACCATGAAAATTTACTGCTCAGAATTTTATTTCCTAATGTAGGTTGTATCTCTCTAGAATAGCCCTTAAAGAGACTGTTATTAAAAAAAAAGAAATAACTGTTGCAAGTATAAAGTGCACCTAGAGGAGCCTGTACATATCTGCAGCAGTCTTTCAAAAGCTGCTATTACACCTGAATCACACCCGGGACTTACAGGCAAGACTCTGACACTTCCAAGTAGTGTCAGAGATTGCCATTAAGCTGCACCCCACACACATTGCTATTAACTCATGATTCTGATGGGCAGCCTCACTTGCTCATAGGAATGTGTAGGAGGTAAGAAGGGATGGACAAACTTTGGTACAATCAGGAAGTGCCAAAGCTACATCTGTCAAAAAATAAAACACGTTTTGCCTGTGATGTGAGAGTTGGGAAGCTGCTGCAGGTTAGAGCAGCAATCATTAGGTACCTGCACTTTTAACCTGCACCAGCTTATTGTTTAAAAAAAAACACAGACTGCCTGTCAGAACAGCCTGAGATTCAAGCAAGATGTGAAGGTTCACAGTTTGCTGCAGGTATACAGTATGCAGGCACCTCTAATTGCCTTCTCTTTAGGTGCATAGTGTTTTGTTACCTGATTACAAATTTCATGTTTAGAACATTTCAGTATTAAATGTTAAATAATGCAATGTATAATGTTTTATTATGTTTGCAGTCAATGGTGCTTCTTCTTCAAAGTCAACGGCAATACATCTTTGAATACGATTCATCAGACCGTCTATACTCTGTAACCATGCCTAGTGTTGCTCGGCATAGTATGTCAACTCACACATCAGTTGGATACATCAGAAACAGTTATAATCCTCCAGAAAGCAATGCATCAATCATTTTTGACTACAGCGAAGATGGTAGACTTTTAAAGACGTCATTTCTTGGTACTGGTCGACAAGTATTCTATAAGTATGGAAAACTTTCCAAGTTATCAGAGATCATTTATGACAGCACAGCAGTCACCTTTGGTTATGATGAAACAACAGGTGTTTTAAAAATGGTGAATCTTCAAAGTGGTGGTTTTTCATGTACAATCCGCTATAGGAAAATTGGTCCTTTAGTCGACAAACAAATCTACAGGTTTTCTGAAGAAGGCATGGTAAATGCTAGGTTTGATTACACTTACCATGACAATAGTTTTCGAGTTGCTAGCCTTAAGCCTATAATAAGTGAAACTCCTTTGCCTGTAGAATTATATCGCTATGATGACATTTCTGGCAAAATTGAACATTTTGGAAAATTTGGAGTGATTTACTATGACGTTAACCAGATCATAACTACAGCTGTAATGACACTAACAAAACATTTTGATACTCATGGACGAATTAAAGAAGTCCAATATGAAATATTTAGATCGTTGATGTATTGGATGACCGTGCAATATGATAGTATGGGCCGAGTTATAAAAAGGGAGCTGAAACTTGGTTCCTATGCCAACACAACAAAGTATACCTATGAATATGATGGGGATGGTCAGCTGTTAACTGTTGCTGTCAATGACAGGCAAACATGGCGTTATAACTATGACCTTAATGGGAATTTATATCTATTGACTCCTGGAAATGGCATACGTCTCCTGCCTTTAAGATATGATCTCAGAGACAGAATAACACGTTTGGGGGATGTGCAATACAAAATTGATGATGATGGATTCTTGAGTCAAAGAGGTGCTGATATTTTTGAATATAACTCAAAGGGCCTTCTCACCAGGGCATACAACAAGGTCCTTGGATGGAATGTACAATATCGATATGATGGACTAGGACGAAGAGCTTCCTGCAAAACTAACCTAGGACTTCATCTTCAGTTCTTCTATGCTGATCTACACAACCCAACACGGGTTACCCATGTCTATAATCACTCAAATTCAGAAATAACTTCCTTGTACTATGACTTGCAAGGTCATCTATTTGCAATGGAAAGCAGTAGTGGAGAAGAATACTACATTGCCTCTGATAATACAGGCACACCACTGGCAGCTTTCAGCATCAATGGGGTGATGATTAAGCAGTTACAATATACGCCTTATGGAGAAGTTTACTTTGATTCAAATCCAAACTTCCAGCTTGTTATTGGATTTCATGGAGGACTATATGATCCACTAACAAAGTTGGTACATTTTGCTCAAAGAGATTATGATGTGTTGGCTAGACGCTGGATATCTCCAGATTATACAATGTGGAAGAAAATTGGGCAAGATCCTGCTCCTTTCAACCTATATATGTTTAAGAACAATAATCCACTGAGCACTGAAATGGATTTAAAAAACTACGTTACAGGTAAGATATGCCCATCCTTTAATCACTTTAGGAAAACATTTTATGCAAATGTTGCATTTGTTTTTTTTTTGTGAGCCACTTAAAATGTACTTTATGTTGAAACAAAACTTTATGTTTTAGTTTTGGCTAGAGTAGGGAAGACTTAGATCATCTGACAAGTTTTTATTGCTGTATGTGTCCCCACTGGGGAGATTCACCTCTCTAGTTGTCCTCTATTTGTCCTCGTGACCATAGTCACCAAGACAGAAAGTAAGGGGAAATCCTAAACTTTAGAGTTGTCTTGAAAGCAAGAGGTAAGAGGAAAAATTCCTATAGGGACAAATGGTATTGTGACAATGATAAGATGGCAATCCCCCTTACTTTGGGGAGATTTCTTTTCACTTCCTGTTGCATTTCCAAGGGAATGGCCCGATACGGGCAGGCACGCTGCACGGACATGTACGGCCCGCCTTAACGTTATTTGAATGAGGCCTAAAGGCTTCTGCACATAGGTACTGCATGCATAAGTCCATAAGAGGATTTAGACAGTGAAGACAGTATTACTAAGAAAACATCTAACCTCTGTCCATTGTGTGTAATAATGAAACTGCCTTAATAGACCCATTCCAACTCATAGGCACACATTAGGTATGCATGCCAAGAATCCTCTCTGTACGAGAACTATTCTGCAAAAAATAAATCGTTTTGGCAACAAGTGCTCCAATTTCCAAGCTTTTAGCAACACATGTTCTATGTAAAAAATGTGGTATATTTTCTAAAACATTTTTATTTTGATACCGGTCATCCTATGATCCAAAGTAGTAGATGTTCTTTTCAGTTGCAGCCAGTTACAGTCATTGTAGAAAATGTAGAATACCTCATAGTGTAACACAAATTAGGGTTGCAGACAATATGTTGCACCTCACATCGTAGGAAACTAAAAAAAAATCCTGCAGCTATCTAATGCTTGGACACAAGTATTAGTATTAGGGCATAAGATCAAAAGGACAAATATTTACTAGATAACAGGTAAATACTTCTGAAAGTTGTAAAATGACAAGCTACATTAAAAAAAGTCGTGTTTTAGATTGCAGTTTGTAAGAGGAGAGAGAACCTGACAAAATAAATTCTTTGGGTGATGTCAAAGGATGATGATGGCTCTGATAAGGCTATGATGTACACAAAGCATTTTGCTTTCCATACGCAAAGATGCATCATATGGAAAATGCAAGTCTTTGACTCACTGACCACATATAGGCTGCATGCTAGCTTTTAGATAGTGGAACAGAGCCTCTTTTGCATCACTGCCCCTGATCTAGTATGAAGTGCAAAATGCAACTTTTCACTAAGGCTCCTTTTATGAAAGGTTGGCATAAGCATACACCAATTCTGTGGACTAATGCACAGATCAGGCAAAGATCAGGTCATGTAAGGCTTCCATAGAGAGTGATAATGAGCACTTCTGACCATCAAAAGCACTTCTTAAAAAAAAAAGATTCTAAAGCCTATTGCCTTGGTGAGTCACTAGCTACAGTGTCATAGGCAATAAGGATGTTTGAGGATGGGCAGAATTCTCACAGATTTAATTCAGTAAACAAGGTAAATGTGTATGGTAAAAACCTGTCATACAGTAAGATAATCTTGTGAGCTGCCATTAGACAACACAATCATATGAATATATAATTCACAAATACTCTTTATGAGAAATAAATGATTGAAATGTTTATAGTATAATCTGCATGTTGCCTGAATGGACAAAAGCTAACTGATTATTGATGCTTCTCTAACAAAAGAAATGACTATTCAATGACAATTTACACCATAAAAGTTGTGCTAATCTTCCATTATGAAATGTAAGATAACAGAATACACAGAGTAACAAGTACATCTCATATGCTCTGTGGTTACAAATGACCAAAATAGGGCCTTCATTGAAGTAAATAAATAAACGAACAAACATGACTGAGTATAAAGACCAAATTATTTATAAAATGGCCTGACATGTGGGTTAAAGACATTTCAAATACTGTACTGGAATGATCTGTGTAACCATTGTCTTGTTCATTAACCTTTATTAGGCAAGACTGCTCCATATCTAACTAGTCATGTTAAATTACTATGCTTATGGAGATAAAGAGAGTCTTTAGAATTACATTTCAGGATTACGCCTTTAAAGTTAAACACCAACCAGACACAAAAACAACACTTAATCCACTTATGTATTAATTAAAAAGATCATTGCTTGTATTTTTATATAGGACTAGTACATGTGCCTAAATCTGTCTTTATAGCAACCTTCTGTTATGTCCAGCACAGCAACATTCTGACTGAGAGAGGGTGGATCAGCAGTGTAAGCTAGTAAGGGGTATATTGCTTTGCACATTGCTGTCAGCTAAACCCTTAGAACTTCACTATGTTAAACTAACTGAATTTAAGGGAAGTTGCAGAGGAATACCCTCATTAGTACACTGGTGTTGTTTATTCTTGATTGTCCAATCACAGAATGGGACCAGTCCTGGACCAGACTGTATTGCTTAAATGCAGTGTAATCTGCAGAGAGGTCTAGGGCATCACTGTGCCGTGACTGGCTGAACATAATTATAAATCCTTTGTTAGGTAAAATATTTCCAGGACAGCTCATTCTCAAATATTTAAGTACAAGACAAATGAATTTATGACTTTAAGGTGCTACAAGTAGCTGTTATATTGTAAAGCGCTTCGCAAACTGTTGGCGCTATATAAATCCTGTATAATAATAATTCTAAATATGCCGTACATTTAAAAAAAAGTAATATTACATCTCTGACAAAGCCTAGGACAGTATCAGTGTACTGTACATTTAATTAAATGTGTGAATAGTGATTATAGACTGATAATAAATGCTTTTTCAATAGATGTGCAAAACTGGCTGGTGATGTTTGGATTTCAATTGAGCAACATAATTCCTGGCTTTCCCCGGTCCAAATTACACTTTGTCCCACCCTCTTATGAGTTGAGAGAGAGTCAAGAATGTGAAAATGGGCAGGTAAGTCTGGCTACATCCCCACACACCTGGCTTAGTGTAATATCTTGCTTTTCCATCTGTATCTGCTCAAGATCTTTTTATTTTTATTTGAATGATTGTACACGCAATGCTCTTTTATGCCTGCCTAGATAGTTATGTTAATTGCAGTATCATTAGATCTTTGTGTGTATACCCTTGAGATGTTTCTTGATTAACAATAGTACTGGGAGGTTTAAAGGTAGCTGGCCATCTGTTCCATCTAAAGTATAACAAAATAACTTTTGGGAATATATTGCTCAAAATAAAAATACAGCTTGCCGCTACGGTATTGCATATGTGCTTTATAGAAGCAATAAAACAGTGTATGCTTTTATCAAAAAAACAGGGATGTGGCTCATTTTATGCTGCATAACATGCTTGTTTCATTCTATTTAAAGACACACAGTGCATGGAAAAATGCAAAAGGAAACAGATATAAAAAGAATCTATATTTTTATATTTAGGGACACAGAACACAGTAGTGGAATTGTAAAAAGCAACTTCAAAGAGCAATGTGAAATAAGCATTAAAAGCAGACCTATATATAAAACGTAAAGTTTGGTTGTCTATCAGGGATTCATTAGCACAATTTAATGTGATAGAGCAATAAGTTAAAAAAAATACCTTTGTAGCATAGCATTGTAGCATTATAATTACAAATTAAAAGCAACAGAGCACTTTTCAAATTTAACAGTGCATGGTGCCACTGCATTCTCAAAGACTTAAAGTACAACCCTCGCAAGACTTTTGTCTTGCAAGGGTTGTAAAGTAATTTTAAAAACGTATGATCTGCCCATCTTGGACAGGCAGATCGTACCTGCGATCATCGCAAGTCCGCCCCCCTGAGGGGCGGGCTTCCGATTACTGCACTGCTGAACGGGCAGTGTGCGCGTGCGCACACCGGCCCGTTCGGCAGTGATCTCTCGATCATGTTAAAAACCAGCCGAAAATCGTACGATTCTCGGCTGATTTTCCAACATGCTTGATATACAAAAGCCGTGCGACCGTACATTAGAAACGGTTGCACGCCTTCCATACACTGCACGATTCTTGTACGATCGTACGAGAATCGTGCAGTGTATGGGCACCTTTACAGGTGCCTCATATGTTCAAAGGTATACCCTACCCACTCCTGATCTGATTACACTGATGTTGTCATTGGGGGGAGGGATCTAGAAACAGGAAGAGATGATCAATTATAACTAGTCTCCAGCAGGGGCTGACTGGCAACTTTTAGCCCAGGGGGCAAGTACAACCCAGAGGCCCATGGTGCCGCAACTTGGCCCCTCTCCCGCTCTGCCTCTTCCCCCGCCTTCTCCCTGCCCCTGTCTGCCACTTTTGCCATCCATGTAACAGTAGTGCAAATGTATTTATCGGTTTAGGAAATGTAAAGCACACTGGTAGTGGAGGGATGCCTCGTCAGGGTTGTGCGTGTGCATGACTGCTGCGACCCTGGTAGTTCTGCCACTAACTCAGAAATACATTGTACAGCATTGCAGAATGGCATTGGCTATATAGAACTACAATTCCAAGCAATACATTACACAACAATGAAGAATACCATCAGCTATAGAGGACTATAAATCCCAGCAATAATGACTACCAACAGCTATAGACAGGGCTTGAAAAATCCACTCGTCCGCTCATCTGTGACGAAAGGACGGTGGAGCCCGACGAGCAGCTTCCCGGCCGCCCGTTGTAATTACACGGCCGGCTGGGAGCTTTACATTCAAGCGATCAGGCGTCTAGAGACGCTCAATCGCTTGTATTAGCATCTGTCACTGCCGGTCCCAAGATCCGCTGTGCCCGATGTGGCCGGGACCGGCACGGCTCTGTGAGATCAAAGGGAGATCAGTCCCCGAATGCAGGAAGTGATGTATATTACATCACTTCCTGCATTTAGTGTCACTCTCCAGCTACAGAAGCTGATGAAGCCGATCTGTAAAGCTCTACACACTGCCTATGGAGCTCAGATATGGATCTCAGGGCCCAGCACAATCAGATCAGGAAGTGGTTCAGGCAGGGGATGCTGCTGTAACCCTCTTAGGTGTGGTGAGGGGGCGCTGTTCCCACAAACATCATATACCACTTAAACAAAAGTAAACTACCAGTGTATTGCAGCATACAAGGTAATTAAATAGTTTGCCACTATTGCACACATAAATGCGGGTTAAATGAAAAAGATCAGCATTAACTGTAAGGAGTTATCTATATGAAATAGCCTGAGAGAATATAGCATGTATAACACAACTACTGCTAGTGGGAGAGTTCACAGGAGGTTGCAGTATAGCTATTGCCAGTAGATGGCGATATAGTCCAGCAGCACAGTATCACAGTCTCTATATATATCCCAGTTACTTGCGGTTTGTAGTCAAGCTGGAATCAGAGTATTACGGCCACAGACCAGAGATGAGATGTGCAGGGGGTTCAGCTCCTGTCCTCCTTCACTCCTGTGCAGTATCAGGCGTCTAGACGGGGTGATGCAGCAGTTCAGCAGGCGGGTAGGAGAGCTATTGCTCAAAGTACAGTCTCCATTGACTGAACGCCGAGCAATTGAATCTCCCTCGCTTTTACCGAGGGAGCCGACGTCAGTGGGCGGAGCTACGCTCGGCATCAAGCCCTGGCTATAGAGAACTACAATTTACCAGCAATACCATTATACAGCAATGCAGAACAGCATCAGCTATAGAGGACTACAAATCCCAGCAATACAGAATAATATGAAGCTACATACTCTGTTGCTCTGGGTTCTCCGCCTGATGTCTCCGGGGTTTCAGGAGGGTTTTGTGAACTCTCTGGACCCCGGGCTCTCACCAGGGGTCCAGAGAGTTTCACAGGTGCGTGTGGGTGCAGCAGAGGTGGTCAGTGCGGGCTCTCTGCTGGTCAGTGTGGGATCTGTGGTGGCCAGTGGGGGCTCCCTAATAATCAGTGGTGGCTCTGTGGTAGCTCCCTGGTGGCCAGTGGGGGCTCCCTGTTGGTTAGTTGGGGCTCCGTGGTGGCCAGTGGAGGCTCCCTGGTGGTTAGTGGGGGATCCCTGGTGGTTAGTGGGAGATCCCTGGTGTAGGGTGACCATTCATCTAGAGCTGCAGCTAACGATTATTTTCAAAATCGATTAGTTAGCCCATTATTAGGCTCAATTAACCAGTTAATCAGGATAAAAACAAATGGCTCCAGTGATGGACTACTAGTTTGTATTGAGATTGTAGTCCATCACAGGAGCAAGCTTGGAGCGGTGGAAAGAAGAAAAAAAAAAGTGTGGTGTGCAATATAGTGAAATGGAAAGTGTACAATTATACAGCAATCAATGCAAAATGGCACCGGCTATAGAGGACTACAAATCCCAGCAATACATTATACAGCGCAATGCAGCATACCAACAGCTATAGAGGACTACAAATTCCAGCAATAGCACATTATAGCTGGCGGTATTCTGCATTGCGCTGTATAATGTATTGCTGGGTTTTGTTGTACTCCTCTATAGCTGGTGGAATTCCGCATTGCGCTGTATAATGTATTATTGCTGGGATTTGTAGTCCTCTATACAGCGCAATGCAGAATACCACCAGCTATAGAGGAGTACAACAAATCCCAGCAATACATTATACAAACAGTGTATAATGTATTGCTGGGATTTGTAGTGCTCTATAGCTGATGGTATAATATGCAGCACAATGTAACATCAGCTATAGAGGACTACAAATCCCACCATCCCAGCAATACATTAGAGAGCACCATGTGGGGGGAGGGAGTGCAGGCTTACCTGAGCAGTCTTACAGCAACTTGCTTCTGAGATCGGGCCTATCTGTCGGCGGCTGTCATCCCCTCACACCTGCTCCTCCTTACGTCTTCTTCTCCCCGCATCCCTGTGCCGATCGTGGATGTGGGCGATTACTTGATTTTTGTTTATTCTGAGCTATAGTGGTCTTATAGGCAACATGTGTTAGGTGGTGACCTGTCAGCGGGAGGATGGTCATGTAGAGCCACAACTCTCTGCATGGGTGAGGGGCTTGCAAACTACATATGGGACACTGAAAGTAGAGCAATGTCTGCTTCACTTAGATTAGTTTCAACAGGGCTGATTTACTATAGGCAGATAGGTTGTTCACTTTGCAAGGAAATGTTTACTTTGCAATGGTTCCCTTAGTTTAGTAATTTAGGTGAAGCTCTGCTGATTTTTATCATCCAATCATGTTCAAGCAAAAATAGTTTTTTTTTTAATTTTCATTGGACACGATTGGGTATTTTTTGCAAAGTGAAATTCCACCACATTCACTAAGGTAAGGGGTAAATTACCTTGCAACTTAACCATCCTATTTGGATTCATTAAATCAACCCCAATGTGGCATTCACCATTTATCGTTCTGATTATTTTTACTCAGACACAAGATTTCCAGATTTTGAGTACAGCTCACTGTTTTTACAAGTGGAGTGTGCAGCAGTTATAAAATGTGCTCACATTTAATTAGATGGTATTTAATTATCTTCCTGAGCACAGATAAACGTGCTTTGTTAATTCTATTTTATGACACATAATTTTCCTATGCACATTTAAGACTTAATACTTTTCAAAAAATCTCTACATTGGAAACAGTCAGCCTTAAAATTACTTCATATTTAATGCTATTTTTGTACTAATTTCACAGTGGAGTAGCACATGAAATTATGAATGTTTAGTACATATATTTGTGAACTACTTTCTGACTTAATGTAACTCTTTAGTTTTTTTAATAATTGGATAACTTTTCTAATTTCATGTGATTTACTTTTGTGTTAAATTACAGGCAAAATGTAATTAAGCCAGCACTGCATGACCTTCAGAAATCTGTACAGTCTAGTTACAATGGTTCACTGCTCTACTTTTTAACTTTCCGCAACTAATTCATTTTTCTGTCTTTTAGCTAATTACAGGTGTTCAACAGACCACTGAAAGACACAATCAAGCATTTATGGCATTGGAGGGTCAGACTATAGTGAAGCGGCTGCACGCAAACATAAGAGAGAAGCTTGGACACTGGTTTGCCACTACTGGTCCTATAATTGGAAAAGGAATAATGTTTGCCATTAAGGAAGGGAAAGTGACAACCGGAATGTCCAGCATTGCCAGTGAAGACAGTCGGAAAATTGCTTTGGTGCTTAATGGGGCCCATTATCTGGAAAAAATGTACTATAACATTGAAGGAAAGGACACACATTACTTTGTCAAAATTGGATCCTCTGATAATGACCTAGTCACCCTGGGATTGACGACAGGTCGCAAAACGCTAGACAGTGGAGTGAATGTTACCATTTCACAGCCAACTCTTCTGATAAATGGAAGGACTCGCAGGTTTACAAACATCGAATTCCAACATTCCTCACTAATTTTAAATATAAGATATGGATTAACTGCCGACACCTTAGATGAAGAAAGAGCAAGAGTTCTAGATCAAGCACGCCAGCGAGCAATGAGTGCAGCTTGGGCTAAAGAACAACAAAAAGCAAGAGATGGAAAAGAAGGTAGTCGCTTATGGACTGAGGGAGAAAAACAGCAGCTTTTAAGCACTGGAAGAGTTCAAGGATATGAGGGGTATTATGTCCTTCCAGTGGAGCAGTACCCAGAGCTTGCAGACAGTAGCAGTAACATCCAGTTCTTAAGACAGAATGAAATGGGAAAGAGGTAACAAATTAATCTGCTGTCATCCTTTCCTGGATGGATCAGTAGTAACAACTGTTATCTCCTCTCCTAAGGAGATGAAGACCTAAATGGGGCACTAGGCTGAAATGTTTGAGACAGTTAAGTAGCAAGAAAGCTCACATTTTTTGAGTTGACTGCTGCTGCTAAAAAAAAACACAAATTGAAGTGGACTTAAAGCCTGATTTTAAAAAAATACAACTAAACACAAGAGTACCCCTTTGATATTACCCACTTCTTCTGGGTCACTGTTAAAATAAAAAAATTTGGCCTCTGATTACGTTACTTCTTTGACATGTGAGTAAAGTTTAAAAGAATTCAAAATGGCCACCTTTACAAGACCTTTTGTTGAAAATGACTCAGACTGCTTCTTTGATAAGTATTCTGACATTTTGATCTAGGGATGCTTACTGCATTGCTTAAAAAAACTTTGAAGTGATTTGTAGAAATAAAACTAAAACAAAGAGCAAAGGATAGACGTTGATGAGAAAACATGGACTTTATTTGCACTCTTATCCCAAAATGCTCTGTGACTTAATTTATCCATTAAGTGGGTAGAGTGTGATGTGTGAGTCAAAATGGAGGCTTTCACTGCAGTTAAATTCATCCTCTTGTTTGTATTTGAGAAATCCATTGTGGACAATACAGTATAACACAGTTACAGGGTGTAGTCTGTTTAGAATCAGTAGTTTGTTGGTATCAATTTCAGTAGAGATGTGGGCATTGTGACACTACCGCAAATGGGCACCACTTCTGATCACCCTGTTCATATAAGAAGGCCAGATGGCACAATCACTGTTTCCGATTAAAACTAGAAATGTGTTTGTTTGGTCAAAACAATAAACTGAGACAATCACCTTACAGTCACCACAAAGATGAACTTTGGTTTTTTTGTAATATACATGTATGAACTGTTCATTGAGTTTTTATATTATTTTAATTTGCTGCTAAATGGAGATTAGAAACAGGCAAAGATAATTTATGGCAAAGTGTTTAAATTGTTTATACATAAATAAAGTCTCTAAAACTGTGGACACTTGTATTGTGTACATACCTATCTGGCTGCACATTATATACATTACAGATATGTTTTTATTTAAAGGTTATCTATACCCAAAACCAAAAATGGTATATATTTGTATTTGTTGATTACAAGTCACTAGATGTGTTGACTGCATTCATTTTCTTTTTTTCAGGCTTTTTTCTTTATTTACCATTTCAATATTTTTATTGAGTTTTACAATAATTAAACAATACAAGAAAAAGTAGAAATGTGTATAATCATGGAAGAAGAACAATGGCAAGGTAGGGCAAGTGTAGCATTAAGTCAGCCCACAGTTCACATCTAGTGATGGGCCGAACAGAACACCCAAAAAGTTTGAACTCAAACTCAATGCAAGTCAATGGGGGTAGAACTTTCAAAAACAATTGTCCCCTTTAAGAGGGCTTATATGCACGTTATTGGCCATAAAAATTGTATGGGGATCCTGGTACAGCCCTGGGGGACAGGAATCAATGAAAAGAAAACTTTTCAAAAATACAGTTTTTAAAGGAGCAGTGGTTTTAACAGCACTTAAAGGGTAACAATAAAAATGAAAAGACACAGCACTTTTTCTCTCCTGGACGGCCAGGAGCGGGAGGCTCCCAGAGCGCCCGGGAGAGTTTTTTTTTTTTACAGCAGCAGAGCCGCTGGACAATAGAAAACAGCGGCATTCAGCTATTCACTCACTGCTGTTCGGCATTTTTAAGAATAGCCCGAACAGCAGTGAGTAGCCTGCCGGGGGTTCGGCTCAGCCGATCCAGATGTTGGATCGGCTGAGTCGAACTCCTTCTGCACTTTGGGTCCGCCAAACATGCTGAGCATGTTCGGCCGACCCGAAGCCACTCAAAGCAAGCCGATGTACGGAAATCAGCGGTACCAGCCTGAAGTGAATAGCCGAACAGTGTTCGGCTCACTTCACTTCAGATCGGTCATTCACTCGGCTGCCCTCGGCAGCTTGGTGAATAGACCCCATAGTCTTCCGGAACACCCTAGGACACTTTTGATTCCAAGTAAAGGTCCAAATAAAGTGATGGTCCCAGAAAATCTCATCTGCGGAAGCAGAATCAAAAGGTAGAGGACTTGGCGTAAAAAGATGGAAGATGATTATAAAATAAGTAAACTGTTTTAGAAGGATTTGCAGTAGCGCCGCCAGTAGAAGTGTGAAATTTAATAAGTTGTGATGGAAGGGCAGCAATTTAAAAAGTTTAGTCAGTAACAGCCCCAGAAAAAGTTTCTTCCAGCATAGTTCTTTTTCTGCCTTGGAGTCTGTTCCTTTATTTGTCTCTGGTGATATTCCCAGAAAACACCTTTTGTCCTGGGATGACAACTCACTGTACTGTATGTATGGAGGAGCAGCCTTGTCACACTAGGCTGCTCTCCTGATTTGGACTACAAACACAGCTTCCTCTCCTCATTTCCATTGCTTAAAGGAAAGTTGTTTTGTAGTTAACAGAAGATAGCTGTGAAAGCAGATAACATTGTTTGAGATTTCAGTTCAGTGCACAGGAAGGACACAAGAATACTGGCAGGATCAACAGAAATGTGTATGTACTTGCAGAAAATGTACTTAGCCTGAAGAAAAAAAACGAATGCAAACACCCCATCTAAGGGCTGGTAAGCTGCAATATATTACATTTTTAGCTCTGAGTTTAGATATACTTTAAAACACATGACTTGGCACTCGTTAACACTATTGTGATTTTGTGGTAACAAAGATGCCTTTTGCCAGCTTTGAAGCTGGAAATCCTGAAACATATTTGTGGTACTAGATTTACTGGAATCATAAATGTTGCTCTATAGCTTTTGCTAAATACAAATATGGAGAAATGTGTTAATATCCTGGAAAAAAAAAAGAAGAAGAACCCACAATTTTCTTAAAACTGCCATCCATCAGATGTTGCTTTTGGTTTCTGGTCAACAGAATATTTAAAATAATAAAACAAATGGAAATGGTATGGACAAAAATGATGGAACGCTTAACCTAATATTTGATTGCACAACCATTGCAATATCTGCAAACAAGCAATTCCTATAGTTCTTAATTAGATTTGTGTGTCTACCAACAGGTAGTTTGGCCCACTCTTCTTGAGCAAACCACTTAAGCTATCTCAGGTTTGAAGGATGCTTTCTCCAGACTGCATGTTTCAACTCTTTCCACCAAGAATCAATAGGATTAAATTAGGGCTCATAGAAGGTCACTTCAGAATAATCTAATGTTTTGTTCTTAGCCATTCCTTGGTGCTTTCAGCTCTGTGTTTTGGGTCAATGTCCCATAGTAGGACCCATGACGTGCAACTTTAACATAGGTTTCTGACCCTGGGCAGTACATTTCACTCCAGAATCATTGAGAGTCTTTGAGAGAGAGAGAGATTTAATTGTGTCCTGCACAGATTTGATGCACCCTGTGCCAGTCGTGGCATGGCACCCCCACAACACAACTGAGTCTCCTCCATGTTTCACAGTAGGTATGGTGTTCTTTTCTTCAACCAGACAGAATCAGATATTAATGTACCATGACATTGGAGTTCAGCATATATTTCCTTGGAATTTTTTCTTGGCTCTTTGTCTATAATTCACTCTCTACTTCTGTCCAATCTGCGGTCGATTTTGCTCAAGCAGCCACATCCAGGGTTGGCTACACAAAGATGAATCTCAAATCCCCTTATATAATTTGCAACTGTAGTCACAGGAACATTAAGCTGCTTTGAGATGGTCTCATAGCCTTTACCTTTGACATGCTTGTCTTTAATTTTCTGTCTGATCTTCTTAGACAACTCTTTCCTTTTCTTTCTCTGGTCCATGTTTAGTTTGGTACACAAGATGACACCAAACACTATTACTACTTGTCCCCAGTTAAATAGGCTGACTGACTGATTGCAACATAAAGATATGTGTGATACTAAGTACAGAAAACAGTTAGTTTAAAATCCCTATGATCCAGTAATATTATAAATATCTTTCCTAGGGTAACAAGAAATCTGTCCAGTCCATTTTAGAATATCATTGTAGAATAAGCAATAATTAATCACGTTTCACGCTTTCTTTGCTTTACTCTATTGCATACCAAAAACATGCAAGTATACATCAGATAATTGGTTTAATTCCATAATTTTTTTCAGGAGGAATAAAGTATTGTTTCAATTAGCTGTAAGGGTACCAACAAATTTGTCTGTGCTAGGAATATGTTTTTAGTGAATTATATTTTAAACAGAATGGGGCTATCTGCCCCTACTACTCCCTACCTCAAGATGTTCTCAGTCTTCTGGGTTGAATGACACCTAGGGGTTGATTTACTAACCTTATAAACACGCCACGAACAAGTATACACCTCTGTAGTGTGTTCCCTCCCAGCATGATCTATTGGTGGAATCTAGACACCTTTGTAGTGTGTACACACCCAGCAGGTGTGTTGTGCAAAGCCCTGCATGAATTGCAAGGTGATGTTGTGTAAATTAGCTCTACATTGTGTTGCTTGCGTTGATGAATGCAGGAATGTAAATGCATGAGCTAACCATTTTTGTCTAAACTGTGAAGCAGCATTATATATGCATCATGTGCATGATTTTTCCATATATGGCATTAGTGGAAATATGCTTTTAGAGACTTTTTGGTTGATAAATACGTTTTGCTGTGTAAAAATCACACGCACCCAGTGTGTGCGTGTGTTTAGGTTAGTAAATCACCCCCCAGTGTCATACTAAAGGGGCATAACCATTGTGGCCTGCACTGACAGTGCATTGATGCAGAGAGAGGTATGTCAGCATAGCTCTTATTGAGGACCACTTAACACTGAGGGAATACTGAAGAGAAAGGTAACTCTGCGTGTCACATGACCAATGTGAATACAATAGGGAAAAGGTAAGTATTGAAAATGAAAACAGCATAAAATACTGCTTTGCTTACCTTAAGGGGGAGTCCTGGAGTTGAGCTTTAAGGTATAACGTTTACATGTTTAACAAAATGTTTAAATCCAACACAATCCACTAATGGACAAAATTTGTTGGATACATTTTACATATTTGAGGTAGACGCACACACCGGGGATCTTTAGCCACCTTGCATGAGTATTGACTTCTGATCTGTTGCTGTGCCTTTGAGGGCCACCTACTCTTAATTTATTTATTGCTATATATGTATCCCAGTTTGGATGCCCACATAAGTTAAGGACCACACCCTCCAGATATGCCTTGTCAAAGCAGTATAGCTTCACAAATGTATGCAACAAAAACCATTTGTCAATTGTTATAAACAGTTTTAATATGTATTTTCTGACAAGCTGCATTAAGTATTGAGAAATTGTGAAATTGTTCAATGCATTGCCCAACTCATTTGCATCTGCCCCTGGTTAGACCCTCCGCATCTGCCCCCTGGTGAGACCCTCCTCATCTTCCCCTGGTGAGACCCTCCTCATCAGCGCCTGTTGGGACCCTCCTCATCTGCCCCTGGTGAGACCCTCCGCATCTGCTGCACCCACCCGCTGGACCTGCTGAAGGTGAGCCATTACCCGTGTGCTGGGTGGAAGAACTCTCTCTCTCTCTCTCAAAGACACCTCTTCTGTCTGTAAAGGTTCTCATTCATCCAGCTCATGGTATTTCTGTAAAAAATAAATCAAGGCAGCTGGACTTGCTGTATTTTTCTTGAAGATGTTTCACTGATCATCCAACCAGCTTTCTCAATTCAGAAGAGGTGAGACCTCTATTGTCTGCCACAGAGGCACCTCTCTCTGGGTGGGTAATACCACCTGCTAGCTCCAATTATGCAAATGCAATCAACACCTCACCTCCATGAGGACTCTGGCCCCATGCTGGTTATAATTAACAGATTATGTTGATTGGAGCAACACTCCCCATATTTATTCCCAGATAATTTTTCTATAAATTATTCTGATTTGGGAAAGCTGGTCGAATGACCAGTGAAATGTCTTCAAGAAAAATACAGCAAGTCCAGTTGCCTTGATTTATTTTTTACAGATTTCTCATCTGTTACTTTA